TATTGCTGCCCTGAACCAATTCTTTGTACTACTACAAGCAGCTGATTGGTGCAAAGGTAACATTCATGTAAAGATACTAAAAGCAAGGTTTGAAAAAATTGTTCTATAAGTTAAATATATGTACATTTGATTCTTGTCATTTGTAAGTTTTTTAAGGGGGGAAGGAACAGTACATCTGTTTTTGGTTTTTTTTAGCATCAGTTACTACTTTTCCTTTGGATCTATTGTCTGTTATTCACACACAGGCTGTCTCATTTCTGAGAAAATTTTAGTTTTACAAATATCTGCTTGGCAGCAGTCTAAATAAAAAGAAGTGTGTAATATTTCACATTACACAATGTCAGTAAGTAGTATCAGAAGCTAGAATAAATGTGGTACATTACAGCATTTTTACAAAGTTAAAGTCACATGCTGTATGTAGTTGTCTCCCTAGAAGGAAACTAAAACTATTCTAGTCATCACAGGTCAAAGTAATTTCTTCTTTTTTACAGCCAGAAGATATATTTGTTTGTGACATGAATGAACGGGACATCAGTGGTCCACCACCACACAAGAAACTAACGAAAAGCCAGTGCACACCTCTTTTTATGACTGCCTACACTATGAGAGGTGCGTAGCCAGCGATGACTGAAACACTATATCTACACATCCACAAAATTGAAATTCAATAGCATGTTCTCTATACCTGGAGGTTACAGTGAAATAACCATGAAACTATAAAATAAATTAATTTGCAAAGGAATATGTACAATGGAAGGTAATCCATGGTAATATACTGTGACTGGCATTTACATTTTAATCTCTCTGTGGTCATCTTTTTGGCACTGATTTTTGGTGTTTTTATTAGTAGGCTGTGGGAGGAGCTTGGGGGATTTACAGTAGTTGTGCCTATTCATCAACTATATTTTAGATCCGTTTATAACCATTGGCTGGGATAAAAAGTTTCACAGATAAGTGAAATGAATATGAAACTTTTCTTTTGCAAGTGGACAGTAAAAGAGAGCTTTTGCTGTTGTATAAGATTTGCATCTGTTATTCAGAAAGAATTTAGGGAGGCTCTTCTGATCTTCCTACACAAGAAGCTTATATGTGTACCCAAGGATTATCTATCTATCTATCTATCTATCTATCTATCTATCTATCTATCTATCTATCTATCTATCTATCTATCTTTCCATCATGACATAATAAGATAACAATATTTTTTTTTCGGATACTCAATTAATAATCGAAGAAGAGTACTAGCATAAAAAAGAGTAAAGCCCTTTAAACTTATGTCACTCAAATAAGTTTGGAAATTCTTTAGAATCTCAGAACTCTGATAAAATTAGTCAAGTGTTTCAGTCATTGCAGTATGTAAAGAAATACACAGTTAGTGTTTCTTCTTGAATTTGTGGAAGTGGTTTCTCTCCTGGGCAATCAATAATTATAATTTATAGATTAATTATCTCATACCTTTATTTAGGTTGCTGTATGTTTTTTCCTCTAAAACAGCAGATCACCGTTTGCTAAGATGCCTAGCCAAAGGAAATGAAGTATGTAAAAAAAAAATATCTTAATTTATATGCTTTAAAATAATTTTTAGGTTATTTTTTTTCCTCTTTTTCTGTTCTTAGGGGCAGGCGCAGTGATACATACTCATTCCAAGGCTGCTGTTATGGCTACCCTTCTTTACCAAGGGAGTGAGTTCAGTATTACCCATCAGGAGATGATAAAAGGAATCCAAAAGTGTACTTCAGGAGGCTATTACCGGTACTTCTCTATATTTAAGAAAAGAGACGTGGTGTTTGATCATGTGTTTTCTGCAATATAAATAGATGACAAGTCATGTGAGTTATGTGCATTAAAGCATGGAAAATGAAGTATTGGGAATTCAAAGTAAAAAGACCTCTGGAATTAATCAGTCATTAGCTATCTCTAAGAAGGTCTCAAGTTTTTGAACAAGATCTAAGATAAAATCTTTTAATGTCAAGGCTACTGTGGTCTGCTGAGCTACAGCAACAAACCAAAAGAAGTGCTATGTTGTGACAAGTATCTCAAGAACAGAGATCTTAATACATGAATACAATGAAACTGAAACTGAAGCCAACCAACATTAGGTTGGATTGATAACGTACAAACTTCAATTGGGTGGACTTCATGTATCACTGCCTGTGCTAGTTTAAGGCACGTTAAGAGAGCAGAGGATTTCAGATTTTACTTGACAGACTTTGAAAGAAAATTCAGAATAAAGAGCTCATTAAATTTCATGTCATTACTTTTCAAAGATGAGCTCTGAGGTAACTGCTGAGTTATTCCAAAAGATGTGTGATGGCTTGCTTTATGGACTCCACCCACAGAGTGTTGAACTGGGATCTGCAAACAGTATTTATGTAATGTGTAGTAATGAGATGAAAAATTGAAATGCTAAATTCTTTCCACTTTTCGGTGTTAGTTTTTGTAGCTATTGCCCTTTGGCAAGGAAGCAAGATGTATGTCTGGCATGTAATTTTATGCCAGGGCGTATTTTGGTTTTGGTTGACTTGCCAGTTTTACCTTCTTGTCAGCATTAGCATTTGTATTTTTAATGTGGCAAGAGACACTCCTTATATTGACTTGCCTAACAATACTGGGTTTTAAGAACCACACAGCAATTTTCTTTTTTGGATATACCTTTTGAATTTTCAAACATTCCTAAATGTTAGTCAGGAGACATTGTATTAATTTGGATCCATATCAGAGTTGTCCCATGTCATTTTGTTAATTTACCAGAAAAACTAAAGAAATCAAAGCTCCAGATTATATAGTTCCTAAGTACGTATTCCTCCATACTAGACTGGTTCCACTGTTTTGCCTCACACTCCATTGGCTTTAAAGGAAATTCAATAGTACTGAATAAGGTCTTTCAAAAAAGGGATTGTCAATATATTGTTTCAAATGACGTAAACTTTTTCTGGTTGCTATCCAGGAAAATGCTAAAGGTAGGATAATCAGAAGTATTTGTTGGCCTAAATATGACCCCAGTGATGCCAGAATAATTTTACTTTTGACTTCAGTAGATGGAGAACTCGATCTGTACTAAATAGCTTTGGAAGTTTCAAACTGATCCAAGATATTTTATATGAAGGTTTGGCTAAATGTAGGCTGCTTATATTTAAATAAAACTAAAGAGATGCCAAGTATTTAACTAATTCGGAGTCTTCTTTGGGATTTGTAGACATTAGTTCTTGATAAAAGTCTTACAGTTATGATTAGGAATCGGTTATGATATTTATACCTACTTCCAAACTCAGGTCCAAGTAGAAAGCAGAGCCTTAGAAACCAATCCTTTAGCTCATCTGGCCTCACTAATAGCAAACACTTGTAAGAGGCAAAAGTACAACTACAAAAAATTTCTAATTTTCTTCAGTTACTACTTTTGTAGACTTCCTCAGGAAAACATCAGCATTGGAAACTGTAGGGGATGAGACTTTTGAATTTTCTGAGTATCTGGTTTGAAATGCAAGCTGTATAATTTTTACCATTGCTTTCTCGCTCTGTTTATGAAATTAAGTACTACTCATGAAATACCTATGTGATCTGAATCATAAATCTGAACCTGAGCTGGGGACATATTAAAAGTATTTAAACAAGTTTCTACCAGTGTTAATTAAGGTTCAAACAATGCCAAATATGCCAGTCCTCCTTCAGAAGAAACTGTTAGGCAAGTTCCACTGAGTAACATGCATCATCTTGCCTTTGGAACTGGGGTTCTCAGACTCTCTTAAGATCACATACAGCCCACCAGTGACTCCATCACAGATAATTTATTTTTCATGTGTTGACTCTACTTTCTGTTTATATGACTTAGCAGGACAATCTTTTTTCCAAGGGCTTTTTGGACTACCTGAGTTAATTTTGTTCTTTCCAGCAAACAGCTTCATTTCCTTCTTTATGATGTGATTCTTTTAAATAATTGAATCTGAGATAAAGCTTTTACATGATGCCAGCACAGGATGGAAAGAGTCTAAAAAAGTGGAAAAGAGATGCAACTACAAAGTGATATAGGAACATATTAAAATGTTGCTTTCTTTTTGTGCCTCAAGCATAGCTCAGGTATTGGTGGCATAACATATGTTTGAGAGTGAGAGATATTCCTGAGAGTTCTTAAATTACAGCAAGAGAAGAGTGTAAAATCACTAGTGTTGAGAATTTGTTAACATCCTTACACAATCAAAGGAGGATCTCTGTCTTAGGGAAAAACTTCATCCATTCAGAGTGGTTTTTTTTAATTCAAGAACATTCATGTTTTCTTTTAGATATAATGATACGTTAGTGGTTCCCATTATTGAGAATACACCAGAAGAGAAGGATCTCAAGGAAAGAATGGTACATGCATTGGAAAAATACCCAGACTCTTGTGCTGTTTTGGTCAGACGCCATGGAGTTTACGTATGGGGAGAAACATGGGAAAAAACTAAAACGATGTGAGTACAATTTAGGAATATTGTGTCTTTTGCCACTATACCTCAAACTTCTAGTGACCTTAATGTCTTATCTGTTTCCAACCCATGGACAATGCTTCAGAACATTAATTTCTGGCCTCATTGAACATATAGGGAGTTTTTTGGGATGGGTTCTGCTTAGTTTTCCTGTCATATTAATGCTGGCTGATAGGTTTCCCAGCATTTTCCTGTCAGATGGATAAGTCCCTTCTCATAGGAAACCTGCAGACAATCTGGCACTTATATGGCACCTTCCAATGCTGTTTGTGTAGTCTTCTCTAGCCTCATTTCTGGAATTTACTTCATTTGCTTGTGGAAATGCAGCAAATCAGCAACATGTAGCAATAATACTTTCCATACTGCAGTAGTGGCAGTGATTTATAATAAAGCTGTCCAATCAGACCATTGCATTGGTAATGTACAGCTCAAGGAAAAAAAGTACTAAATTTTCATAAAACATGGTCGTTCTTGAGCCTTACTTTACATTTCACTTTTTTTTTTCCTTTTCATTTTAGGTGTGAGTGTTACGATTACTTGTTCGACATCGCAGTGCAGATGAAGCAGCATGGGTTAGATCCTTCAAAACATCCAGCAGGAGAAAATAAGATCTTGTAAATGACAACAACATTTACATTAGGTGTGAATTTATCTGTATGAAAGATCTGTTTGAAGGGAGAGACTAGAGATTGCCCCATCCCTTCAGTCTGCTTTTCCACTCAGGAAACTTCAGTATTTCACCTCTTCCCCACTAGCACTGCACTTGTTTCTGTGTCTGAAATAATGCTCTTTTACCATCCAATGCATCAAAAATATATGTATTAATAATTAAGTAGGTTCTGTGCATATTTTAGCACCTATGTACAGCATGGGATACAATTACTTTTAGAAAGTAAATTTTGTCAGATATTAAAGAAAAAGCCAATGGAAAAGAAAGACACAAGCCTAGTAAGCTAAGCTATAATGAAATACCTGAACACCCACTTCTGTTCTTCAGCTTGCAGGATCAGGTTTGATTTCGATCGATCTCAGTGGTATTACTTATCTGGTGAGTTGTTAGTCCTTATTCATCCAGTAGAAATGGCTCATTGCAAGTTGATTGTTTCATTGATTAGTGTCACCTGTTTATCTCATGCAGCAAATTACCATTACTTTATTTTCTTCTGTAACAATGATCAATGTTTCGGAAGTTTTTATAATAAATCTTTTAAAGTAAAAGCACATAGATTATAGAATTGGGCCGTACTTAATATGAGGACTTCCTGAAAAAATTTCTTGGTATGGCAAAATACAGTGGTAGGGTACATTTCAGGGTCTGGGACACTTCTCCCTGAAAATCTAAGCAAGTTTAAAGTTACCAGTACTGAGATTATGACGGAGTTGCTAGGCCAAAGTGGTGGTCTAATTAAACTTTTTGCACACTGCTGACCCATCAGATAATCCTCTCCACCCACTACATCTGCATCAGAAGAGATGAGAAATGGCTGCTCAGGCAGCATGAACACAAAACAGATACTTGGATTGTTAGCCTTTATGCCCACAGCAGAGGAGGAAGCAGTGCTGCAGGAGGTTTGCTGTCAAATGCAGGAGCAAGTATTGGCAGCAGTGCCACTACATATGGTGCTGAAGACATGCTGGCTACCACGTGCACAGAGCTACCTCATGGCTTGCAAGAACCATTCTAAAATTGCTTCTCAGCTCCTGCTATTGAATAGATTGGACTAATATGGTGGCATTAATATTCCTTTCCCTATTTCTTATTACTAAATGCCTGGTTTTAGAACATTTTCACTTTTATCTTGTTTCACCTATAGAGATTTCTTACATGGTCATGGGAGTTCCAGATTTGACCACACGCTTTTAAAACCAGAAGGGGGTGCTGTTATACTCGGCTGGTTTAGAGATGTTACCAGTCAGTTTTGATTGTTAAATACATCCAAGAAGAAAACAAAGAGTTAAAACAACAAGAAAAAAAAGCTGAACAATCATTGCTATTTATGAATTGGGTCAAATGCTACAGAAGGAATAATGAAAATTCATATGCAAAAAAATATATTGAAGAAATCTATGGAGAACTAATGTGACATTTTAATTGCAATATTTGAAAATTCATATTTCAACAACCTGCACATGCTGATCATGCTCTACTGCTGCATCATTTAACTTCTAGGTTTCCATTTCTGAAAGTTATAGTAGGCTTTATTCTTGGGGAAAAAAGTGAGGACAGCCCCTTAACTTGAGATTAGGTGTAAAGCTTAAAGCATTGTTTGAACTGCTGAGTCATTCATGCTGTGTTAATAGGGTGGGGTTTTTTAATTAAGCCAGTAGCATATATATAAGAGAATTCTTACTTATCATTATATTGAGTAGAAAACATACTTTTATAGCATGCATTTGAAAGTTGCTACTGAGAGACTGCTTTGGGTCTTGCCTTTTTTTACCTATTTTAATTAATTCACTTTCCATAAGGTTTTGTTTATTACAATTTTACAACAGCTTAGTTATGATTAGCCATCCTAAGATAGATTTAATCAAGCTGCTCATTAAAATATAATCTCATTGTCATCTTTCAAAATCTCCTGGAATGGTCCCCCAGTGGTATCAGTGTAAGCCATGGTAAACCAACTTTCTGACTGTGTTTTGAGACTCTGATCCCAAAGGGGAAAATGCCAATTTACCTTGTTTTCTACTAGAGACCTTGCATTCCCACCACTTGCCCTTTCATCATCTCTGGCACTTCTTTAAGCATAACATATCAAACTAAGAGAAAACTACTGCAGGAGTCAGAGGAAGAAGATTATTATATTGTTTCTTAATAAGCCACTGGTAAAACATTGAATCAGCTCAGAGGTGTGTCCAAAGAGAACCAGAACTGTGGCAAAAGAGATGGTTGTAGCCAGAGATGGCAGACAATACTTCTCCTATTTCATGGGGGTTACTGTTCAGACTTACTCAGTTACTTGTGGACAGGCATGCAGTATGGATGTTCTGAAGATCTGAAATATGTGGAAAGTATTCTGCTAAACTAAGAAGTCAGGAAGAAACTTCTTGTATTTTTCACCCAGTAATGAGCTTTTCTTTAGCCATGTATGTTAGATTACTCATTATAGCACAACATAAGATGTTGGTCTCTCTTGTAACTGGAAATTGAGTTGTGCTAAAAACGTCCTAGTTTGGCTTGCTGGATATTCGTGTCCCCATGTTGCAGTCTGTCACTGGGTGATGACAAAGCACATGATATAAGCCAAGTGCCTGCTGACGTGATCCAGCTTGCTGGATACCAGGTGTTTCTAAATGTTAAGATGTGGTCACTCGTTGCCTTTTGTAGTCACCAGAGTTGGTGCTGCTATGCTGCCAGCTTGTCGGCAACCAGACCTGTCTTACCTCCACATCCTTGTAGCAGCTGCAGCCTGTCTTTTCTGTGCTTCACGAGAGAGAATGTTCAGCATCTGCTGCTATCAAAGCAACAGCAGCTGTCAAAGATGTCATCCAAGACCTCAACTGGTGAAGTTAGCACTTCACAGGAATGTTTCATTATAAGTGATATGCCATCAAAAACTTGCTGAGTACTCATCTACCAGCATACTCTGACCTCACTGGGGTGCTTCGGATTTTTTCAATAGTATACACATAAGCTTTGCTCCAAATTTTCATGTCCCTGTCAGTCAGATACCAACTAAAGGGTTGTTAAAGGAATTGCCATATAGTTCAAATAGGTCTCTTTTCTTCCCCCCGATGATTGGACTGCAATACTCACCAGCATCAATTACAATGAATTTCATTGAAAAAAAATCTTTGCCATTCTATTCTTGCATTAGAGAAATAAACATATTTAGTTTGGGGTTTTTTTGTGGTTTTTTTTCCTTAAATGTTTTAGGAACACAAGAATAGCATTGACTGTTTTGTGTTTTATGCCATTGTCTTTATTTCTGAACTTCCTTCCAAAACACTTGTGTTGATTCTTAAAATTTGTAGAGTAATGGTTCTATGCTCACAGACTGGCAGGTTTCATGGATGATCTGTATCTTGTGACTGTTAGGCATGTTTGTCTTTTCCTACTGTACTTAGTGATATGCCTGCAGTGTGCATCTTTTAAACCTTAGGGGGAGGGTGACCATAATTACTGTAAAATTACTGCAGGTTGTTGACTTTTGCTAAATTATTTCATTATTAAAAATTGTTTCTCAGTGGCAAGTATTCTGCAGTGACACTACATTTTGTGAGTGGATATAGATTGCAGTAAGAGCTTGGGAGAAAAGTGTTATTTTTTAGATCAGAGAGGGACTTTGGACCTGCTACGTGCTCTTCTGCTCCACTTAAGCAAAAAACACATATTTAAATATTTTCAGGACTTCCAAGGTGCAAGTGATATGAAGGGAAATTAGATTCTGTTTCCATTAGCTTTTCTTCCTTACGGGCACACTAATGAAAATACTCCATGTGACAATCTAGTTAGTCTTGATATGTAGTTGCCATCTATCGATAGTGATCTGTAATTCTTTATTTAAACTGATAGATTTCTGCAAAAGTAAATTTCTCTGGTATGCTGATGATGCTGTTGGAATAAGACAGAATTGTGTAATTCCATAATACTAATGTTTGGTAAGGATAAAGATGATTTTACACTTTGTGTTGTTCTTTTCTACATGTATCATGACAAACGACGAGAGAGCACTCATAAGGAAAGTTATTTTTCGCCAAATATGTTCCTTTAAGGTCATGTTAACTAGAAATACTCACTTCCTTATCTAGCTACCATTTGCCACTCGGAGTGCTACTGCGTGGCAAATTTTTACTCTGTGTGAAGTACCAAAGTTCTGTAGTAGCAGTTAAGTTCTTTCATAGGGGATTCCAAGATACTCACAAGTCTCAGTCTTCTCATATCTTAACCAAGGAATCATTGACTTCACAGGTTTGGTGGCTTCATAAACTTCTGAAATGATTACTGTTTCCCACAGTGTATAGAAAGTTCTTACAGTTCAGCTCCAGAACAAAAATATGAAATTTTTCCATATATTTTATAGCTTCTAAACTCCCATAATTTAAAAATCGAGATAATTTTCTGATGTGAATTGTAGGCTAATAAGCCAACTGGATATTTTTATACATTTGCAGCGAAGAGTTGATCTCCATCAAAGCTGATTATCTAGGTTTATTTTCACCAGATAGGCTTATGTAAAAATTGACATTTCAAGTGGGTCATCCAAAATGCTCATTATGTTCCAGCCTTTCTCAATAAAAGTAATGTCCTAGCAAGCATTCTACTTTCCATGAAGGAAATAAAGTTGCAGAATACAGCATCTTGAAACATTAAGAGTTGGAGCTCCAACTAGTAAGCAGCCTGGTCTAGTGAGAGGTATTCCTGGTCAAGCATGGGGGTTGAAACTAGATGATCTTTGAGGTCACTTCCAACCCAAACCATTCTATGATTCTACAATGATGTCAATATTGTCTAGTGAATGCTATAACAGCTGAAAAACTGGTGTCCTATTTCCTTTAACTCTGAAATCGTTATTTAAAAAATCTAAAAAAGCCCACTGACTAGTGGAACAATACAATACAATATAATTCTTTGAATCCTTTGCACACTTTTTGGCAAATATGTCTGTAACAATTTTTTACCATTTTACAGAAGATG